CCAGATAGGCCGACTCAAACATCTGCACAGTCTCATTGACCCCAAAATTTCGAACTCTCTCATTATTATCAGTTTTAAGCGTTCACCACACCAGCGTAATATATTCGGAGGTTTCAAATATATCTGTGGACTAAAAAAGTCAAGATTCTGAATAAACTACGGTGCTGAAAACTAAATATGATTGGCGAGTAAATATCTCCAAACCCTTCCCAAACCTTTCCCAAATTGCGAAAGAGTTTGAATTGTGGGATTCGAGTCGAAGGTGCGCCTTTTTTTCGTGATTCACAGAGGTAAAAGAGGGACAGATGACCACCGAAGTGTGGGTTCATCCTCGGTTTTGGAAGAATTTCGTCCCATACAATTTCAAATCAGAGTTTTGCAGGTCGGTCTTCAACGAACGATGTCGCTAATGTATTCATGCACTCTCCGAAAATCTTAAAACCGTCCTATTAGCGTATGCAAATAGTATGGGCGTAGAAAAAAAACCCTTCCCGAGTTCTTTCTTGTGATTTTACATCCAAATAAACGAACAGACCTTTTATTTTCTCTCCTATCTGCAGATGGATTGAAATGCGATGCCGATTTTAGAGAAATCTAAATTTCTTTATTTGCACCAAATTTTACGAACTGCTCTACTCCTAAAAACCCCTGATATTTCATTATATGACTGTGATAAACATTTTACTTTGAAGATCAGTCATGAATGAAATAACTGATTATTATACTGAAACACTTCAAGGGAATATTCGTGGGATGAATGAAGGAATAGGAGCTGAAGCTTAAGAAATAGTGAGCAGATTACACTTCTCTCCATGAGTCAAATGCAGTTTTTACTGCATGGCGGTGATAAATTAAAATCAATATGTGAAAATTTTACTTTAGATGGAGTTAAGGATTTAGAAGTTGTTTCCAATTTTAATTTAATTTAATTTTTTTATGAAGAAAGAAATTTTTAAAAAAATACTTAAGTAGTGCTATATCTCGAAACTATTATATTTTAAATGTTGTGAGAACACATTTCTTTGCAATAATTTTAGTCACATAATCTCAAATACTTTGAAAAAAGCTTTTCATAAGAAATAATTTCACTTTACTCTAACATTTTGCAATTTTTACGCATTTTTAATACAGACTGATAAATATATTCTGAGGAATTTTTTTAAAACTAAATTAATTTATCGATTTCACAAATAAAGAGAGGCAGAAAACCTGAAAATACTGAGGATTTTATCAAAACTTGCTCAAATACAATATCTGTTTGGAGAACATCACGTAAGTGTAAATAATACAGTGCATATAAAAGTCTATATCAAACATCCAAGTTTTAATAAGTAGATAACAAAGCTACAACAAGTGTTATCTCGAACCCACGAAACGTTTAACAGCCTCTGCCGACGCCCTCAAACTGCTTCGACTCTATTGTTTCGGTCTCCCCTTGCCGCTCTCTGCCCGACTAACTTTCAAACATTGCGTACAACTTGAGTTCAGGAGAGTCCTGAAAAGGAGCGGGTCTTTTCCCTCCGCAAGTTCTCAAGCCTAAAACTGATATCAAAGAGAGGTGCCACGAAACATCATGAGATCGGTCCCTCAAATCCATCGAGGTCTTGCTCAGGTCTCGGAGGAATCTTCCCAAGCAATCTATCATACTACAGAGCTAAGGAAAACAGATTTATCACTTGCTTCCACTAGCCAATGAAAATCAACAGCAGAACAGTAAGTATATAACCAGTGAATACAAGTTTTTAAACTCGTCATCATTTAACCAACTGCACTACTGGTATTAAAAATATGATGTGCGCTGTGTACTACGATGATTTAAAAATCAATTAAGCCAATTTACGTAATCCGAATCGTTTTATAAGCCAGAATCGTGAAAAGGAACAGTTCATAAACCTAGTTTACTGGTTTATTTAGACATGCCGGACACCGCTGGAATCCGCACTTCTTAAGTCATTATTTTAAAAGTGAAAATTGCTTCATTCTGAATGTTTCAGGCAAACATCTGAACTGTATATTGGAGCATTGGAGGTCAGTCGTGACTAACCCATTAATACATCAATTTAATTACACATTGTCTTCTGTTTTATTGTTAATCTTCACTCAATTCTTTGCTCCACCTGATCACCGCATGTTTCCCAATATAATATCCCTCTCATATTCAACACCTATTCCCTCGCATGTACCTGTACTCGTTACCCTCACGATACCCTTCTAGTTTCCTTACATTTTCATCATAGGTTCCAAAACTCCTCCCACCCCACTCGAAATTGTCTTCCCACCCCAAGTCTTCCCCTCAAATGTTTTCCCCTAATGTCAGTATGTTAGTGGCTCGCTCGCGGATGAAATGTTAAGTACTGAATAGTAAAAAGAAAGAAAATAAAAAATGCAATAGAAGAGCGTTGAAGATTTTCGCAAAAATTGTTTATCACAAAATTATTTTTAAATCTTCGTTTTAATGTTAAAAATAGCTTTAAAATGAAACTCTACTCCCATCGTTTCTGGCAATTCGTATTACGGAGTGACGGAACCATGAAAACAAAGCTTGTGTCCCCAAACACACACACAAACGATTTGAAGTTTCTAGTACGCATCGTTTCCTAGTTGGTACAAAGGTTAAGTGTGTATCGACAATGAGTTTTGCGGGTTGCATTTGCACCTGATAAAGCAAAAGGGTCATAATCTGCAAACGTGTATGTATTTCGTCTAAAATTTATTTTATGGACCTCGGTAGGATATTTCCCTAGTCAGCAATAATGCATTTGTGATATTTTGGGTCCGTGATTTATTATAAAGGAAATAATCTGTCAACTTTTCTTAGCGTTATTTTACAGGTTGTTTAAGGATACATGTCACAAACTTATGGCACATAGGGGGGGGGGTAAAAATCATCCCTTTTACTCAATCAAGATATACTGGGAAATTATATATGATGCTTATATACACGACGCTTATGTACATTAAATTATACACATTTGTACACTTCGCATTTGCCCCTGATTTTTAGGACCCACAGTAAGCACAGATGATTGACAGGTTCATAAATGCAACTTGAATGCATCTGAATATGACCTTCCCAACATCTACTATGAATAAGAGTTGCCTAAAAATTAGAGGCAAATGCACATGAATAAATGCATATAACTGCTTTATATACTATTTCACAATATGAAATGTTTATAATAAAAAATGATAATATTTTAACCCTCTACATACCCCATGTTCATTATGATATACTCGTGTAATGAGGGGATAGTGATCTAAATTTATTTACGCTGAGTACACCTGGAACATGGTGCGAAATTTACAACTTCAAAATAAACTAAAGCACAACAAATTTTCTAATGCATTACTTAAAATTGATGCCCTCGATAGACAAATACCAACCAACCATTACCAACAATAAGCTTATATTATATTATATTGTACGTGAATATGTTGAGCATTAAAAACTAAAACATTAAGCAAAAAAGAACATAATGCTTCAACAGCACATACTTTCTCGCATTGTTTCAAACTTCTTTGCGACCTTCCAAACTTCAGAGTTGCTTGCTACTCTGTATTTTGAAAGGTTACGACGAAAAGAATAAACATTTGGAGATTTTTTCAAGAATTCAATAAATTATATCAATTTCAGGCAGAAATTAGGCGAAAACTACTCGTTTTCTTGTAAATTATTTTCTTTCAAGATGTCTTTGAACAACAAATTTGGTTCAGAAAAAACCCTATATTCAATATTATTCTTGTAGGAAGACGCCGAAACATTTTGAACTGATGCAATTTTTAAACTTATCTTACGCCATTCGAGAGCAAACTTTCTTGTTGAGCCTTTTAAAAACATTTTGCAAATTCTAAGGCTTCATGTAAAGTACCTCCAAATATCAATATATATTATTCAAACTCGCAGGGCCTCGAGTGTGTTCAGATCGATCGGAGAAAATCAGTTTTGGAGAAAATCGTCTAAACGTTCTATGTGCTCGGACAGACGGTGACGAACGGACGTTTTTCCAACAATCAATTTTTGAGTATGAATGACCCACAAAACGTGGATTATGACCGCATAAGGAAATAGAGAAAGAAATTTACTACAAATAGAAATAAGATTTATCACCTTTTTTAATACCAGGTTAAAATAAGATTTTTCAATCGCAAAATTGCCAATTTTTGCCGTAGCAAAACCTTGCTTTCTCTTCACCGCGTAAGTACTTAATAAGGCGATAAAGTAATAACACTTGTATGTCCTAAAATGAAATTGGGGATTGCTAATAGGATAAGAAATTCCTAGAATACTAAGTGCTATAGAAGACATTCTAAGGAAAATTTTGTTTATAACATTTTCTTTATGAGAAAGAAGTTCACTCATAATTTTGAAAATAAAGTTATTCACGGGGAAATTAGAGATCACGCAAAAAATAAAATTGACAAGGATATTTTGGTACTTAATGACACATCTAGAGCAATATAAACTGTAGTAAACAGTACCTATTTATAGACGCATCGTGGAAAACCTCGCATTTGAAGAAGAACACCGGCAAATAAAACCATCCGGCAATGCTAGCTTGTCTTAACTATAAATAAGAGAGTACACTTCAGGAAAACAACTATCCAATCATTACTCTAAATTTTTAATTTAACTTTAAACGCAGGATCATTCTCAATCATTGGAAATTAGCGATGTTTTAGCGAGAGTTAAAGCAAAGACTATGAGCCTATTTCCATGTGTGAATTAGAGTTAATAAACACAAGCTGCAATGCTGTTCACTATTATATATTACATGTAAAGTCACAATGAATTTTTGAAATCGATATTAATATTCCGGTACGTAACTATGTAACATAAGCTTCATATGCTACCATCTCATAACCTTTGGCATGGGAGTGAAATAGATATCGAAAACAATTTTCAGTACGGAACGGTTCGCAAGTGGAAAATGTTGGGCCATTCTGAGGCGCCGCTTCCTTTTCTTGAGGCTGTTGAGAGGCGCGGCGTTTGCGAGGGCCTGGCTGTCGCAACTCGACGGAAGATTGCGGATTGGGCGCGGGCCAGCGAGGTGTGTGATCAGCCGAACTCGACGCCACGAGCAACGAAACTGGGGCAAGGGTAGGTCGACCTATATCGTAAGCGCGTTTTATGTGTATTTGGCTTTGCTTGAAGTTCGTCAGTCGCAAAAAAACTACAGAAGCTGCAACCTGAAATGAATATGGTCAACGAAAATCGGCATCTAGCGTCTAATATGCCTATTCTCGTCTGAAACCGACACATTCAATATCACGAAATATAATTTTAACAAGTTTGTTAAAACTGTTAGATTTCTTTAGAAATTTGAGTAATATACTTCTGGTTACATAGTCTGCACCCGGTGGATGTAAAAAGAATCAGAATTTTTCGTAATTTTTAGAACAAATTACTATTGAAAATCTACGAAATCAAAATAATCTGATGTTTTGGGACACCTGACAGCCAATTGAAGAGAGGGAACTGAGTACCACGAGAAGAGTTCGTCGCAGTTTCATCCGATGAAAAAGGAGCACCAGTTTTCTGTTTATTGATAAACGTTTGCAGCAACGTAATATTCACTTCCTGGAATGCAATGATTTTAATTTCAATTAAGCAGGCAAATTCAAATCATTAGTATGCTTAAGTTTCTAAAAAATCTAGAGGAATTATAGCATTACATTTTAGATTTAAGGATGTACGCAAAGACAAAAAAAGAGACAACTAATTCGTTTTTTCGTTCGTTTCTCTAATTTGTGGAAAAAGGTATGTAATAAAAAAATCTTAGAACATTTTGGACATAACTAGATCCCCAAAACAATTTTTTTGCCAATTCTGTAAATCCAAGGTTATAAAAAAACTATGTGAACGTCTGTGGAATATCTTGTTAACCACTTAAAAATTAACACAAATATCTCAAAATACCGAAGAAGTGGGCTTGTTTTGACGAAAATTATACAAATATATTTCTATCCAAAAGTGGTCTAGGAATCTTTGTGAAATTCAACAATGAGTTTTATCGCACAGCATACGACCTATGTTCTAGATGTTTTTTGGCAACAACGTGAAAAAAACGTTTTTCGTGAGCCCTAAACGCAAAACAAAAGTTTAGGGGAAGTGACCGCACCTGTTTTTGATGCACGAAAGGCAACGATTATCTCCGGGAAACAGAGTAAAATGTCAAAATTCTTCGATAAAGATGCGTCGATAGTTCCGCTAGTTGTGGTAAGAACACGATCAATTTTCGAAATTCATTATCACTGTTGCGTGCTGTTCAATTCTTAAAGGTACATAAAACAACCGAAACGGTTAGTTGTACATTACAACGTAAGAGTAGTATCAATATATCCCCAAACGTAAATCATTTTACTTTCTCGCCTACTATTTAGGCATTTGAAACAAAATATTTTAATACCACAAGGGCTGTGTTTGCACAGTGCAAATGTTTCTGTCTGTTTGCATAAAATATCATGATTATTACATCGTATTTTGTGGAAATGTTCGTTGTTTTAAAGTAGGTTTTAAATTTCTTGTATTTGTAGAGAATGTATTGTAATGCTGTGGCACAAATCAAACATTTTTCTTCAGAATAACTCATATTGTGAGGCTTTGATATCGGAAAAAGGGGACAAATCTAGTTCTTATATGTAATAAATTACTTCTTTTAACACTCTGTATATCAGTAAGTACGCTTATAAAAGTGGCACAGAATCTGTTTTCGTTGAACTCACGGAATTTTCAAAAACTGTAAACATTCAGACTTTTGGCGTCTGTACATCATTAGCTTACCATTTAATCCCTTAAATACAAATTAAGTTCGTAAATCACTTCTGTAGAATGTTTAGTATGGGTTCCATTCATTTCATGGGTCATACGTTTTGCTAACAAAACTAATATATATATACCCTATACGCACTTTCATTTGCAATTCATTCACGGTTACGCTTTATCAGCCAAAATGAGGTTATAAATGATCTGTACATTGTCAGGAAAATGTGAAAAGCGCGGTTTGCCCCTGCGCATGAGATCCTAAGTATTCGCTTGTTCTAATTCACCAGATAATCTGGAATCCCACCGACAACTACTGTGATCAACAAAGTCATCTCTATACACATTTTTAACCTATTGTGAATGTTTGTCACTTTCTCGTTCTCACAGCACGTAACTTCCCACGAACATGTAATGCAGCAGCCCTCTTAAACGAGTGCTACGAGAGCAACACTTAAGAAAACAGGTTGAACTAAATTTGAATTCAAGCGAAAAGAATGATACTACGAAATATTTAAGAGGAAAGACGTAGAAAAGCATTTTTTAAATTGATATAAATTACTTTTGGAGGGACCTACGTGTGTTATATGAATGGGTGAAAACTAGAACGGTATAAGTAACATTTTAAAAATTCTGAGAGAAAAGTTTTATAAGGCTATATTTCAGTGGCAATGTAGTTTCGTAGTTTTAATGATGAAACAAAGCACCACAACTTTACAGTAATATTATCTTAAACATATTTCTCTGAATTTATAAAATGTATAAAAGATATATTTGTGGTTACCACAGAAATCTGGAAATCCATATGGATAGGTAAAAAGAAATTATCGTCCAGAATAACGAAAAGTGTATTAAAACTAAATACAGATCACGCATACCTGTTTTGAGGGGTTGGTGCAATTATATATTGCATGAATTCACACATAAATGAACACGATTTACCCAGTTTTTCGTTTCCAGAGCCAGGTTTTTTCTGTCGTAAAATCGCCAATTTCTGCCATAAGAGTACAATGCTTTTTTCACTACGTAAGTATGCAAGATGAGAAATTAAAATGTACCGAGGGAGGTGAAATCATAAGAATCGTAGTCCTCCGCGCGGTGTTTAGTTATAATAACCAAGGAAATTTATTTATTTTGATGTCGGTTTGGGAAGTATATTTCGATGTCATGTTGCTAAATATACCCACCCACGAAAAATAAAGCTTGTTTTGCACTCGGGTACATGCATTCACCTTAAACTGCGAATATGTAGTTAATGACCGAAAAAGCGCATTAGCTTTTAATTTATTGATCGCGAGAAACTTAGTGCTAGTTTTGGAGCATTCGAGCAACTAGGTGCTATAAAGTCGACCAATGTGCCAAATTCGACTATCTCAGATATTCCCTTAACTGTACCTGTTATGTGGTATACGTATGCTCATTACGTAACGTAACCGTGGTTTAAATGCCCACTCACCTTGCACTTGCAGTGGACGATCGAATTCCCTACAATAGCTCAGTGGTTGCGACAACTTCTCTACTTCCTTTAACATGCTTCATTGTGCTATGGCTCGGTTATCAATTATCGTCGTAACGATCTATGAAAGTAATACCCCATTCTGCATCGCAACACGCAAATACAAGAATATGCGTATGATGCGTGCATGCTTGTTTTATTGCAGTTAAGCGCGAATGAGTTTCAATATTCGAAATACTCAGAATTCAGAAACTCTTCAGAACTTCAGAATACTCAATATTCAGAAACTACTGCTTCGTACAAATCGAGACCTCGCATAAGTATTTCTCGTAAATCCTTGAATCTTGAAAAGATATTGTCCGTCTCAAGTTTACTATGCAAGGTGTTTCAGAAAAAAGCACACAAACAAATGAGGCAGATGTGGTTACGAAAAGCTTTTTTAGTCAATGGACTCAGGGTCCGAGAGGTCGTCGTTCTGCTCTAAGCTGTGTCAGAAAGCGTGCCTGTGCCTCTGCCAGGTAGGCATACCAACACAAATGTTACTCATACGAGTAGCCATGATCAGTCAGAAAGGTAAGACAAAACTTAAGGCCATAGATATTACAGGATGCCCCCTCCCCCCCCCAAAGAGTCTCATTTTAGAAAGAGAAGGTGTAATAGATACTGGAATGGGGATCCCCTCACCACTCTCACCGCATATAGCGAAATGAGAGGTCAAGAAAACGCACGGAGGTAATGATGCTACATATACTGTGCAGATGCAAAACGAGGAGGTATCTCAGCATTTTCTCAAGGGATCAAAGGCAATTAGACTATACAAATGATTGAGATGAGTAAAAGAGATGCACGAGTTTATGCATGCGCGTACATGTACGTGAGGAATTCCATCCAAGGCGGGAAAGGTGATGGGGTTCTACATATTGTCAGCAGATCGACCTAGAGTGAATTAGCTGTAATCAACATGTGATGTGTACATTTATTCCGTAAGTGAAATAGTACGGGGGAACTTCCATGCTTCTCTGCAGCGGTTGGAAATTTGGAAAAAGAACAAAAATGATCGGAATGGGCGAGTTGTGTAATTGGGCTGACTTTTTGACAGACGTGCTGAAACTCGCTTGTGATTTTATAACCTTTATCATCGGGGTAGAAAACTTTAATTCGTTCAGATTTTATAACTTAAAATAAAATTCTATTTTTGGAATTAAGAATCGTGACTCGCTTGTCATATCTTTGTGCGCTTCATACAAAAAAGAGATTAACGTAGTATTTGCGTTAATAATATAGTTTAAAGTTTGCTATTTTTAGTTATTTCGCAATTACTATTCATTTTGACATCCTTTTGTTTAGCGAAGTAACGCGAGATTGAGCGCAAACAATCTGGTGGCTTACGCGCGTTGCATTCGGGAAATGTGATCGCGTCAAGCTCAAAGAGATTCTCATCTCCAAATGGATTGACCTACGCGAGTCTACTCTGATTGAGGATTTTCGCTTTACCTCTGGGCGAATGGCGCGCAGATAAAAAGCAAACGGGCAGCAACACCCGCTACTCTTCATTCCTCTCTCATCAGGCCACGGTACCCGAGTGACCAACCGCTGCACACGCTCTGCACACGGAACACTATTCTCCGGTTTAGAAACCTTTGTACACTCGAAAGAGGAAATTTAATTAGTTAACGAACTGGAATCTCCAATTGAAATACAAATATGTTTTAACTTTAAAAAGAAACAATGTTTAGCCTAACAAAGAAATTTAAAAAATAATATTTGAACGTATCACGATTAATAGTAATACTTTTTTAAAAAATATAAAGTGTCGAGTATTTGCTTTTAATGGGGAAAAAATATATTTTTAAGCTAAGCTCTCAAGACATACTCTGCTCTTGGATCCCATGTTTCAGCAAACATTTCCAAATTGATTGAACAAAAACGTTATCCATGAGTGAAAATCAGATCGCGATAATAACAATGAAAGTGCGGAAATGAGACAGGCCTCCCGTATTTCGTTCGAATGATCATGGACGACACTATCAGTGACGAATGTCAGTGTAAGTTTCTTACGCCCAGAATAATTCGTACCGTCAGAAGGAAGTAAAACAAAATTGTTTTACGTCCGAAATCTGATCATGATTTTTTTTAAATGCAAATCGGTTACAGTAATTGAAAATAAATAACCCAGACCATGCGTTGTCTTTGAAGTTTCCTCCGCAGGCAAAATTCTATCTACCAAATTACACCGCCATACGGGATTCTCGCAAAACCAAAATGTGCCGTGAACTGCGTAAATTCTCGGTGGATACGCACCTAAGCCTTTCATAATTTAAACCGCTTTACTGAAAATTTTATTTAGTAGGAATCCAGTGATGGCTTCATTGGAAATTGTTCTAAAAAACATGTTTTTATGATACAATGAAAGCAATGTAAATAGAAACGAACTGTCCATGCATTAATTCATTTAATGCTCAGATTTTCAGAGAGCAACAGAAGAGTGGAGGAGGAGATTCTATGAAAACTTTTGTGAAATTTATTTCTCTACAACTACATCCTTACAACATCTGAAGTACTTGGGAATAATTTCAATTCTTTTTCATGGACTGTTAACAAGTATTTTAAATTACGTACTGGCTGTACAGTATCGTAAGAAAGCAAATGGTCAATATGACTTTTCATATAGTGTCTGGAATTCTGAAATAATGATATAACGATGTTCTAAGCTATATAGAGACTGTTATATAAACACATTTATTTCAAAATTCATCACGGATTTTCTTCATTATATGACCCATAATAGAGGGATATTTGGGAAGTTGGTAAGAAAGTTTAATTTACTATCAATTCCATTCGAACTGTATCGTAAGTAATGCCACGTAATGTATCAAAATTGTTAAAGAAATTCAAAGCAGGTTTGTGCCTACTCGTCTATTGCTTAATAAACAGATATATGCAAAAATTGAGAATAACCCATATTAATTATTATTTTATTAATTAAAAATCGTAAAAAGAGAAAAATATTGAAAAACATTATTCCTTAACAAATTGTTTTTGACGTTTGACATAATATTCAAAATACAGTCGGCGCATAATAAAAATTATTCTTAAAAATTGTCTACCTGAAGTACATAAAGCGAAAAAATGGTTGTTAAATTTCTTCAAACACTGGCATTGGACCATTGCATTTTATATCCAATATCCTTAATATATTTTAACTAATATACTGAACGAATATTTTGAGCACAACAAAAACGTATTGTCAGGACATTGAAAATGCAAAATATCTAAGAAGAAACTACATACACTGAGCGGTATTAAAGAATATGTTAAAAACGCAAAAGGTTTTATCATGAAATACATAAACGGGCTTGTAATTCACAAATACAATCTCCGTAGGAAACTTTTACACTTACATCTCATGTAGGGCCATTTTTTTTACGAAAAGCCTGATACTATTTATGATCGATTAAATATTTGTGAACTCTATCAACTTCTTCATTTGCTTATGTCAAGACGTTAGTTATTAGGAAAAAGAAATCATAACAAAAACAAATATAGTACATTCCACAAGGCGTATGTTCATTAGTACCCTTACGATTTTCTTTTAGGAGGTAGTGTAGCACATTACAGAGCATAATCAAAATATTAGCAGAAAGTTTATTGCCATAATGTCATATTATAGTAGATTGACTTCATTGTTAAGTGTGACACACTCCCGAACTGTCACAAAAAAATGACATTCTCGTTCCCCTCACTCCGTAGTAGCAAGCACTATCGCTTGGCGCGGGAAACGATTGCCCGCTAGGTCCCGTCTCTTCGCGCGATCTAAAGCAAAAATAACGATGTGCCACCCACACAAGTCTTTATTTTTTATCTACACCACGTAGATAAAAACGTTTTAAGCGCGTCACAATATCGTCATTTAAATTCATAAAGAATCTTTTATAATTCTATAAAACAATAGAGTTATACATTAGAACACCATGCACACACAATTACTAATAATAGTAACACTTTATTGAAAGGATTATTTATGTTTAAATGTAAAAGACGTAAATAGAGTTCTCTACTTACCACTGGATATTTTCCTTTCCGTGGGCAAGCTAGTGGCACTGTGAAAAGACACAGTTTTGGTTTTCCGACTGGTCGTTCCATTGCTGGATTTGGCCGCCCCAGCCTCCGGAGTCGGGGACAGCGTCGGAGACGTCTTCTGCGGTCCAGCAACACCAGGCGCCCTGTGCAGGCCCTCGGCCGCGGAAGAGCCTGCCCCGCAACGTGCGCGCCTCCCGCGCCGCCCGCGCCCCCGCGGCCGCAGCCCCGGCCCGGCCCCGGCCCCGGCCCCCGATCCCGGCCCCGGCCCCGGCCCCTGGCCCGAGCACACCCGGATTTGTATAACAGTTCTGCCCGGTGGAGCACACGGGACCCGTTGTTACCGCGTCCACGTTTGCCATGGTGCACTTCCGACTTCATTCCCTGTCAGCACGCGCCGCTCCAAGCGCCACGCGGCGGCAGCACCAGGCACCGGGGCCCGCTCACTCTGGCATTTGCCCCAGCGCTCCGGCCGCGCTTCTAGCTCAAACGAGTCAGCACTGAAGGCAGTCACCCTCTGGAACAAGCGACGGATCTATAAAGTCCGGCCGACGTCACGCCGCCAGCCGCCGACTCATGTGACAACCTAGCAGGCAGCGCTCGAAGCTACCGGGCGCGAGCCGTCGCCTCCCCTCCGCCGCTCCCCGCCCTTTCCGCCTCCCATCCCCACTCATCCCACTCGCCCAGCTCGCCCCCCTCGCCCCGCTCGCCCAGCCCGCCGCTCGTGGCGCTGCGTAGCTCCCCTATCCCTCTCCTCCCCCCGCTCCCGAGCGGCCCTGCGCCCTCGCCTCGCGCTCGCCCGCAAAAACGAAGGGCGCTCCTTCGCGCACGAAAATGAAACATTCACTGCGCGCCTTGCTACACGTGGCACGACTCTCCTCGCGGAGCGGGTCGTCACGTTGAACCCGCATGCAAACGCAACGCAACATGCTTTACGAAGCCGAAAAAACGATGTCTTAAGAACATTCCCTGCAATGAACGTTAGATTATTGAAATGTATTGTGATTTCTGTCACATAAGTGCATATCTTTGTTCTCAGGTACATTCTTAACAATACTATCCCAACTCTTCTTACAAACAATGCATTTTATGAATTGTAAATAAGTTTTTATTACAAGAACAACGTAAATAAATGTCAGGCACTATCACTGAAACAAGCATCTGTATCTTTTCCCTATTTGCGATGGTTTAAGACACACGTACATGTGTTTCAGAAATCCAAAATAACTGAAGAAGTACTTAAACGGAAATTTAATGATGAAGTGCAGTCGTAGAACGGTAATTAAATGATTGTCTGATAATGGGGTCCTACGATATAATAAACAATGAAGTGATGGTGCAGATTAACTGTGCAAATCACTATACCGCCTAAACTATCTACTAAACCAAGAGACTTTTCGAAAATGTATATTACCCTATCGATCTGCTTCAACCAAAATTCAAAGAAAACATTTGAGTGTAAGATGTATTTTATATGACGATCATACATTTGCACAATTTAAAAAAATGTTTCAAACGTTTGTTCTAAATGTTTGCTTCAACATAGGTCAATGTAAGTATGGTAATAGTTTTGTTTTCATTAAAATCGCTGAATTTTTGAAAATTCCAAAAGTTCAACTTTTTCGACTTTTTTTTGCCTTCTTACTCGTACACCTAACTTCATTCAATAGACTCATAGCTAAAACGAATCCAGTCACTGTCTGGAGGAGAATTCAAGCATCTTGCTGCTCTGGTCGTTATTTTTCCCTAGTTTCTTCGATCAATACCAGGCGAATGCTGAGGCATTTCGCTAACACGCGAGACACGCACTCAGCTGTTTCTCGTTCTAGCCCCCTCCCCTCTCCTTACACATCCACATTTACACATGCATGCACTGCATTACTACATGTTGGAAGGCCAGACGCAAACTTAGAGCATGTCTTAGAATCGACGATCGGGACATGAAACGCTAATTACTAACTCACCCCTACATTCACTTCTGAAACAGATTTTTAATGCAATTCATTCGTTAGTTTTAGCACTTAAGTTGGTTTCATGTAAATACTTTCAAAAAATCAGTAGTGTTTCTTTCGATTTTAATCATATCGTGTCAACGAAAACAAGAATTCGTCTTCATATTTGTTTCTTTATACTTTTTGTTTGGATAGAGCAATACAATGATTCGTAAGTGCTTTTCATTAAAACCTTTGAATTAAAAAAAATTAAACTAGTGTGTTCATGACGTTCAGACGTAGAGACGTTGAATGGAGGAGGCAACGCAAATAGATTGTAAAGTTAAATATCGAAATTAAATTTAAAAAATGTAATTCAATTTCAAAGTTTAATTTTTGTTTCAAAAAACTAACTATTCCTATATCTTAACATTACGCGCATCTTTTTAAAACCAACATTCAACACGAAACATCGTTCGTTGCCATAAAAATGACTTTATTTACATGCACTATATAGATAACGTTTCAACAAATACGTTTTCCATTCGATTAATACGGCAAAAAAAAAGCACACGTTTCCAAATGAATAAGGCATATGCGCGCTAAGCTTTAAGACGTTTGATGAATGAAGATTCACAACAGATGGTTCAAATTAGCGTCAACATAATTACGAGTTTTATAACTTTACACGATCGTTACAAATGCTTCGAGGAAGATTGTGCTACGTTGTTGCATCGTTAGCATTTCGTAATATTTTTTGTAGTAATGTATTTAATTGTTTTTGTAGTACTGTATTTTATTTTATTATCAAAACTAAGTTTTCATTTGATGACTTAAAAGAACTTTAAGTATTCCGTTCCAGAAGTCTGGAACACGTATGATATTCATACAGAAAACTATTCTTTTAGGAGTTGAATATTCTATATCACTAATTTCCAATGCGCGCATAACTTGAAAGAAAACTATGCAGCCTCCGCCCATTTTAAAATATCAATAATCACATAATAATAATATCACGCACCAATAAAGAAAATAACCCCTCCCCGTAGCACGTTACACACAATTTTTAACTGTTTTTGACGTAAATAAATACACAATGGTACTGCTTACGACACAGCTGACAGCAAGGTTTCAGTGAATAGATTGCTCGCCATTTACAGTTGATTATTTACTTGCAGCGTTATGGAACGTAACGTTTTTGATATTTTTGGTATGTAAACAACTTTAAAACAGCTGTATAATAAGTATATTATATTACGTTATTTCAGTATTCGTGGAGATTGTTTTTATGAAAATATTTAATTTATTGTAATATTTTATGACAGTACTTTATTTGTTGTTCTTGAGTAGTTTGCGAAGTACTTTTTGGAAAATCATATTTTGTGCTTTCGTTCAGCAGCTATTTTGCGACTGCAGGCCACTAGTTTAATATTTCACTTTCGACGCATTTTCTTAAACATTCATTAGTTTTACATTCCCTTAGAATTTAACAAGTGTTATGAAAAAGGAAGCATTCATATCATCAAAGGAAGCTTCATCAAAAAATACAATAAAATACCTCCATTTTTTCCGTTCGCCTACATAAGTTCGCTTACATCGAGACAGTGAAGTATATCATTTCTAAATCTGATTTATAAAGGTTGCCTAGTAACAGTTACTAAACAAAGTGATGGCTCCAAAAGTATTACGTTATTCATCAACACAAAATCATAAATATATATCAATAATCAGTTGCTATAAATTTTCCTGTTATTCCAATCTCTATTATTTTGATTCATATTGATATTAACAGAGTAGTTTATACAATGTAGTTGTTTTTTGGCACTGCCAGACTGATGTTTTTGAAAGACTTCCTCTACCGTAATAATATTTGCCGTAGTAATATTAGACTAAATTCAAACATCCCTGAACGTATGCAATTTTTATACTTCGCTGTACCGAATCTTGCACATAACCCTCAGCAACATTACCTGATCACCATCCATGTCGTTTGAGAATCAGCGACGCTTTCTGCTAAGAAACTAGCCGAAGATTGGCGAAATGAAAGACCTATGTAAGTTTACGATTCTTCTAACTTAAGATACTTTGTAACATTTTGGAAATTTTAAGGAAACTAATAATACCAACACGCTGAACTGTATGTTTTTCTCTTTGTGTGAACAGAAACAATTGTGGATTTTCAATATTTTTGGTCGTATAGTTGTACACACCTTCTACACACGCCATTTATTTCATTATCTGTCATTTTCGAGAAAACTGGCTTCTCATTAACCTTCGTCAGGACACTCACAAAAACCTGTTTCTGTGTACAACAATCGACAAATCGTAAACGTAAGTTTGGCACCATGTACATTAGATCGGCAATTGAATATTTTGTGCACCACTGTGAGATAGTCTATCAACTATTAGAATAGAGTTATTAGAACGTGTGTTGGGGTGAGACTTTTGTATTTCGCTTTCATATTAACTATCGGTATTTTTTACTTCTTAGTTTTATCTGGCAATCATAAAATGTATGTTATAAAGATTACATGCTAGCCATAGCAATGGTAAAGCCATTACTATTGTTGTTATAATTATGATAATTCATAATTAAATCAAACAAAAACTCATAGCGGATTCTTCGTTCCATGATTTGCGAAATTCTTCAAATCCAAAATGAAGAAAATATAAAACTAACGGCAATATAAATACTTCAAAAAATATGTTACTTCAGTAACAGAAAGAAAGAAATGAAAACGAAAAATTCTTGTACTTCATGCAACAGACCAAAGTGTGACTTAATCCCGTGTGGAGTAATGTTTCAATGTGTGGCCCAGAAAAATTAGCAAGCTAGCTAAAAAACCCACTGTATTTAATAGTATTTTTGTACTTTTCTAATAAATATACTTTATTATATCTGTTTTGAGCCCATTATTAGTGAAAGAATCCTTTGTTTAATTTAAAAAAATACGTTTCTAAAAATGACTAAATGTCAATAAAGCACGTTTTTGCCGGCCTGGATAGCCAAGGTCGCTAAGGCTGAAGGGCCGTGGGTTCGAATCCCGCCTCGGGCATGGACGTTTTTTGTGTGCTAGTATTGTCCTTACGTCTTCCTACAGTTCCCCCAACAGCTAAAGCAATCATATTGTTGCTATATGACCAAGTTGTTAAAAAGCGACCAAAAAAAGCAACATATTTTATTGAGTATAAATGCGTGATAGGAACTACAAGGAATAATTTAATGAAAATAGTTGATTCGCAAACAAATGTATATTCACAATATTAAAAATTTTCAAATGGGTTCCAGTACAGCCCTATGTCTTTTTTATGCTACACTTCTGAAGTGTGATAAACGCCAGTTACTACCAGGGACCGAGTACCGAAATAATAGCGCTAAAAGTTTTTTTTAAATATCGGTATAGAAATTTATTTACCTCTATTATAGCTTTATTCGAAACACCTTTAAAATATCGGATTTTCCATGAGAAAGAACCGGTATTTCAGTAGAATCCAACCGGACAATCATTGTGATTTTACTGCTGAGATGGCTCAGATGAAAAACTATTGACACAACAGAGTTTCTGACCGCGAGGTCCTAAGTTTCTTGTCTCAACGGTGGTTGACTTTCACCCCTTGACATACTCTTCTAGCTAGGTCGAATTCTGCCGTTGAATGGAAAAAAATTCTAGTGGTCGGGTTTTCTGAACGGAATATTTACATTGTTTCTCTGATCAGTTCCAGGCGAATGCCGGAGTAGTTCTGTAACAAACTGGCCACTGATGGCGCGTTATCTTTTCTTCCTCATCTTTTCGCCTTATATACACTACTCTTTCACGAATTTCACTATCAGACATCTCGAGAGACCATTCGGAGCCAAGAGTTTGTTCCGACTGACTCAGAGATATTTGGAGGGAGGAAATGCTAAAGAAGCCGACAAATAATTCGCCGCTGCATTTCTCATCCTAGTGGGAGAGGAAGACACGCTTCTGAGGATTTATTGATTGATTGGTTTATTGATGTTTTCGGCAGTTTCAACTGTCATCATCAACTGTCAGTCCCGTTTGTAGTGCATGTTTTATCCCGAGAGGTGAAAGCGTTCCTCCAACGCTAGATCATAATATCCAGCGCTGACCTATATGTCGCCTTGCAGGGGATTTCTCCTTTCAAGAATCTCTCCTGCTGATGCACCGCGCTAGCCGGACCTAACATTAAGTTCTCGACTAGACTTCAGACAAGTTTGGTAGTGTAGTGCATGTAAGTATATGAGTAAGGAGAGAGATCTGGACAAAGAAGTGGAAAGAAAGATCGCATGCGGACCATGGTCCGTTTGATAGGTGACTGCTCCAGCATTCGTTTGGACTTGGGAAATCACGAAAAACTACCGAGCTGCCAGCCTTTAGAATGCTCCATATAGCGGCTCAAATCGACCTAGCTAAATGAATTTAGAGAGACACTGAGAGAGACAGAGAGAGCGCGACATTGCTGGCTCTGAGCTCCTTAGGCCCAGCCTCTTTCTAACTTGATTAAATTTTCACAATCATATAAAATATTTATAAACGTATTAATAGCAAATGTAAAACACGTTTTAAAACTTTTGAGTTGCTTCGATTCATTCCAAAGCAGTAGAAATTTGTGAAACCAAAATCGAATAATGAAGAATATTTCCAAAGAGAACCCCTTTCCGTAACAAGAAATAAACTAACGTTCTATGAACCGCTGAATCCTTTGCCAAGTTGTAAGAGCAGCGAGGGCAGCGCCTCCGTTGTATAGTCATCTTAGCTTCCGGAGGTCAGCGTCTCGACCCACGTGCGTCTATGGTTCCGAACCAAACATTGGGTTTTCGCTCAGACAGAGGAGAAAGTATTCGACCCATTCCAGGCTATCAATTTCTTTTCGCACTTTGAAGCATTGAAATGTCCCCGACGGATGTTTCACCGTCGTTGTGTTTGTGTGTGTGTACGCGCGTTTGTGTGTTGAAAGACAGAGAGGGACACAGAGAACATTGTTGGGAAACATTTGGACAGAGAGGGGCAGAGAGATAGAGTGAGAGCGAGAGAGCCAGAAAAGGCCAGAGAGCGAGAAAGAGAGAGAGGGAGAGAGAGGGGAGTGAGAGGGAGAGAGAGGGGGGAGAGGGAGAGAGAGGGAGAGCAAGAGGGGGAGAGAGAGAGTGGGCGCCTAAGTTAGCGCGAGTGAGTGAGCGCACGTGCGCGAGTACGCGAGTGTGGGTGTGCGTGTGTACGTGCGTGATTTTTTAATGTTATTAATAAGCATTTCGCAAAATGATTAACGAAAGGAAGTTATTTTTCTCCGGGTGGATGGTGTGAGGGACATTTTCCATTGAAAATACAGGTATAATACCTTTACGGCCTGGACACCATAGTAAACGATCATACCGGAGTAGACGTCCTATAAAAGTATTTTGCCGGTATAAAAAATGAAGATATTGGATAGAGGTTACGAAAAATACCAATATTTTATCGTTTTTTTCCGGTATTCAATACATTCTCGGTTTCTGCTCCAAACCAGGGTATCTCCTCTCTACTCAACATTATCAGTATTTATTCTATAGAGGTGGTGGCATCGACAAGGTCCGGTGACCCCGAAAATCTCAGCAACGTAAACATCAGAAGAAATTAATAAGTTAATAATAAAATTTACTTCATCAATAGATTTTCTGTTAAAATTCACCGTATTTCGGCGCACGATTACAATAATTTCTCTTTTTACTAAGTAAGGGCGAAAAAGTAATTATCAGATTTTTAAAAAGGTCATGTAAATATAAAAAACAAGTAGTTTTTTTATATAATTTCTACTTCAAGTTAATGCAAATTATTAAAAAACCAGTATATAAAAACTGCTTCGAATTTGTTCTTTAATTTATTTTGCACAGAATGGACAAGGGATGGGACAAGGACAAGGGATTGGTACAGGTTCCATTTGCGTTGAGCTCCCTGAACTTTCGAAAATTGAATATTTATAAATAGCGTAAGAAGGCACGTGTTGTTGTAGTACCACTAGTTAATAATATTACAATTAATTTCAAGTTCATATGCCTCGACATATGAAAGCTTCTTCCGAAATAGTTTTGAAATAATCACAGCATTTACTTCATTTTTTCTCGACCATGCTAACACGGACTCTCCGATTTCATCTTACCAGGAGACATGGCTTATGGCATCAATTGATGTCACTGCAGTCCCTCTGGCCGGGAGGTCCTAGGGGCTCCGATGTCCCGACGGTGGCAGGATTTTGGACACTAGTTTGTAAGCTAGATTGGATCCAGTCACTTTCTGGAGGAGAATTTCAGCGGCCGGCTGCTCTGATCGGTAGTTTTCTGTGGTTTCTCCAATTAACACCAGGCGAAAGCCGGAGCCTAACAAACTGTCCACGGTCCGCGCGCGATCTTTCCTACCTCTACCTTGTCCTATCCTCACCTTTAGACACACTCACACTATCATGCGCTACACTACCACACATGCCGGGAGACCGGTCGGGAACCTAGAGCTTGTCCCAGCTGGGGCGGTGAACCGCTGGTGCGAGATACCTTATTCGAGGAAAACCTCGTTAGCCGACGGAAGGTCGGCGCCGAATCTCGCCATCCAGCGAGGAAAACCCACCGCCATCTCCCGGGCAAGAATGTGCACTACACTTACAGGAACAATGATCATATTAGTTGAAGTGGGAGGAATCTCAATCAATCGATTCCATCATCCTTTTTAGGTTTGTCTTTTACGATATGTTCTTCGCACGTATTTCGTTTTAATCGTAGCGGAGAATCTTATACTTAATTATGTGTGCGTAATTGTAGGTAAGTTGCTCAATTCTTGATATTGCAATGACGATTCTTTCTTACTTGATATGCAATTTTTAACATAACTTCAAGCACTTCGATTATTTCAACAATGCAACCACAACAATTACCTCAACAACACCAAAGTGTATTATATGTACTATGTTAAGCTTAACGATTAATGAAGATATTACAATAAAAATTAATTTTCTT